AGAGAGAGAGAGAGAGAGAGAGAGAGAGAGAGAGAGAGAGAGAGAGATGAGGAGGAATGTGAGCAGATGGGCATTCTGTGGAAACTTGATATAAAAAAACGGAGACACAAGGAGAAAGAGAAGGCTTAAAAGGTACAAGGAAGTCAGGCAGATGGAATCACAAGAAGGGGAAGGAAGGGACAGATGGATGGAAGTGAGAACGTACATGTAGGACATCCACGGTCCACATCCATGTGTTTTCTTTTGCTCTCGACAAACCCCCCAATGGCACGCCTGGTCCAGTGAGTTAATTAGCTGTGTGCATCAGCACTCATCCCCCGGTCCCCATACGTATCATCCAACACCTGGTGCCGTTCATGTCGGACTCACTGAGCACACATCCACATAAATCTCCCATATCCACACACAGTGTGAACGCTTAATGATACCTGCGTCTTGAGGGGCGACGTCGACCCCCGAAAGGTGTTGCTGTAATTCACTCTGAGTGTTTTGTTATTTGTTACAGCTGCACACGGATATGGACGGAGGAGATGGACGCACTAAGTACACATTGGAGGGGGAGGGGGTGGGCTCCGTGTTTGTGATCGACGGCAACACGGGGAACATACACGTCACCAAGTCCCTGGACCGCGAGGAGAAGGACCAGTACCGCCTCGTCGCCACAGCTACGGACCGCCAGACGGGCCAGGCCCTGGAGCCCTCGTCGGAGTTCGTCATCAGGGTGCAGGACATCAACGACAACCCACCCATCTTCCTCGACGAGCCCTACGTCGCCGTGGTGCCGGAGATAGCCAACATAGGTACACGAAGGCTGTGAAGCGACTTCAACACTCAAAACTGAGGTGTCAGACACATCATCTGTGAAATGCAGAGCATTGCATTGTGGGATTGATGGCAGAAAGTAGTGTACATGCCGCCAGATGTCTGAGGGTGTTACAGTGGATAATGAGACAGTTTTAAGGCTTTACACAGGGGGGGGGGGGCTTGACGAATACATGAATGCAAAATGCGAATATATTATTTTCAATATTTTGAAAGGAAAGAAAGGAAGGAGTGGATCGGGTCTGTGCTGACTTTGTCGAGATTGAAAAGAATAATAAAGTGAATATAGAACCTCATGAATAAAGATGCAACTCAACTCGTTACGCACAATGTTTTTTATTCGTGGTGCGAAACCTCCGAAAAATCAACCTCGTTCCCCCAAAGATATTACATCTCGCTGCGTAATATTCACAAAAAATATATATTGACCACTAGTGTGTAAAGGCCTCAAATCAAATGCAGGACAGTAAATATAGTCCAGTAATATTATAAATATTCATAGTAAATAGAGTTTGTGAAGCTGCAATTAAGCACGGCAGAGCTTTGAGCTGAATGCTAACATCAGTATGCTAACATGCTCACAATGACAGTGCTAACGTACTGATGTTCAGCAGCTATCATTTGCTTGTAGAGATCTGCAGCAACGACGTATTTCTGTAGCCAAACAGGAAGTTAGCATCACTTCTGTAGTCAAACAGGAAGTTAGCATCACTTATGTAGCCAAACAGGAAGTTAGCATCACTTCTGTAGCCAAACAGGAAGTTAGCAGCACTTCTGTAGCCAAACAGGAAGTTAGCAGCACTTCTGTAGCCAAACAGGAAGTTAGCAGCACTTCTGTAGCCAAACAGGAAGTTAGCAGCACTTCTGTAGCCAAACAGCAAGTTAGCATCACTCCTGTAGCCAAACAGGAAGTTAGCATCACTGGTTCCCTCCAACAAACAGCCAACGAGATTCTTGGCTGTTTTTCTGGGACGGAAAATAAACAAACGTTTATGATTCTTACAGGTAGACATAGAAATGTTTAAAATGATTTATTTATTAAATAATCTGAAACGAAAAAATGACCATGAAAACTCCCAGGTAGAAGTATTCAAATCACCATCAATACAGAAAACCCAAACGGTCCTATAGGTCAAATAAAAGCTTCACATCTTTGCTTAAAATATGATTGATCATCACATCAGGTGCAGATTAATCCGCTGTTAATCGTTGCAGGTTCTGTTTCTACTCCTGCAGAATATTTGACTTGTATTATTTATTTATATTTGAACATTTTCCTTAACGGAGTATAAATATCTCTGATATTGTTTAACATGAAAACCAGGATATCTAATCATATTTCATCTAAAAAGATGAACGTTTCATTCGGCAGAAAAAGTGGATTATCCTTTTAATCCGACAGGTGAGACACATTTCTGCGGCGTATCACTTTAAGTTTATAAACCTGCCACCCAGCTTGTCGACCTTTGACCTTTTTTCGCCTCTCTCACAGGAACGTCCATAATCCAAGTCACGGCCAGAGACGCCGATGACCCAACATATGGAAACAGCGCCCGGCTGGTGTACGCCATCACTCAGGGCCAGGACCACTTCTCTGTGGATCCTCAGACAGGTCTGAGTAAACACAGTAAACCCCAGAGGCCCCCGCTTAGATACCACATGTCTCTGCCACCATATATCCAACATTTACATGATCTGCGGCCATGTTTTTCCGTGTCCTAATTCTGAACACGTATGACTCGCTTTGACGGTGATTTGCAGAGACATCGTGAAGTCGCTGTGCCGTTGTGATTTCCTGCTCTGCCGTCCACCAGGTGTCCTGAGGACAGCGGTGCCCGACATGGACAGAGAGACGCGGGACGAGTATCTGGTGGTGCTCCAGGCCAAAGACATGGGGGGGCATCTGGGCGGACTGTCGGGGACAACCACCGTCACCGTGAGGCTGAGCGACGTCAATGACAACCCGCCTCACTTCAGGAGGAGTAAGCTGTCATCAGGCCGCCACTTAGAGGAGCAGTGTGTAACATTTAGGGGGATCAACTGGCAGAAATGGAATATAATATTCATAACTATGTTTTAATCAGTGCAGGTGATCAGCAGAATCACCTGAAACTAAGAATCGCAGTGTTTTCGTTATCTTAGAAAAAGGATTTTATATCCACGTAGGGTTCCGCCGCCTTTCTACACCGGCTCTACAGAGACTTTCTGTGTTTTTACGTTATCTGAGCAGATTACAGATTAGAGTAGCTCCTTGTTGTACTAAAACTCTAAATATAACTCTGTACCTGAAGGCCACCGTAGTTCTCGACACACTTACAAAGGGGAGGGGCTTAGCTGAGGGGTATTTCGTTAGTTGCAATCTGTAACTTCACCGCTAGATAAAGCGAGCTGCTTGTCACTCCAATATTTCTCGTCCTAATCACTGTTTTTTTCACCATCAGTTGGAATAACTCGTCCTCTTCCAGAGACGACTGGCATTAACATTCATACTAACACTACCCGTGTGGTCCCTGAGCTTCAGAAATGGACTGCGCCTTGACGTAGAAGAGTGAAAGATCATGTCGGCCTTTTCTTATCCAAGCTTTTCCCCCTTCTATGCTATTAATATTTCATCTTAAAGTTCAGTGCTTTCCGCTTCAATAAACAGTAAAATCACTGCAGAATGCGTCTAAGGCTTTCAGACGTATGCTGCTTCTCTCTACATACCACCTCGACTTCTTCTTCCTGACAGCCTCCGCTTACCGTCGTTCATCTTCACGTTGAAAGCTCCCTTTTTGTTCTCGCATTGATAAATTGTTCCGCAACACAGAAGCAATTTAATATTTTCCAAATGCCAGCGCTGTTATTTATCCGCTATCTGACTTTATCCCCCCCCCCCCTCACCACCTTCTACTCCGGGTCATTATTTTTCTGTCTGACAATAACGCCACAGTTTAAGTGAATGGCTCATGTAGTACGCGCTTTGAATGCGAAGAGAGTGTGACTCTAAAACGCTCCTCATAATGTGAGGACTTGAATGATTAACAATCAGCAGGGCGGCTCTGATTAAAAAGGAAAAACATGGAAAGTAAAAATACTCCTGATGAAAAAAGATTTTAAAAAATGTGATGAAATAGAACACATTGAACAAAAGATAAATAAAACCCTCTTAATAATAATATTAATAATACAAATAATAACAATATGCACATTCATCAGCAAAGGTTACAGTAGCATTGATTGACTATATTAGCTAAAATAAATATAAAACATGTTCAGATTGTGGCTAAAAATAATTTACAAACGAGGGCTTTGAATTTGTAAATGGGTGATAGTCATTATAAGCACACGATGTGGTGGTAAAGACATGAAACATGCCTCTACGTGGACACTGATGAAGCGGTTCTGGGCGCTGTGGTAAACGGTCTTTCCTTTCTGGCCAGAGAGAGATTCTCTGTGCAAAGATGCATTTCAAAGTTCAGCCAAAGCAATTACGACTTCAGCCGTCTGAGTTTGTCATTTCCAGTGGATTTATCTTCAAAATGTAAATTCCCATAAGACGTTCCCGAGAGGGAATTCCACACTGAATATAACTTTGGTGGATCTGATATAAGCTCCAGTTGAACCGTGGAATACATTTGGCAGACTGTGGATTCAGTCCTCCCTCTCTCACATTAGAGTTGCATTAGTGAGGATCTCCGTGTGGTCGCTATATGTGCAGGTGGAATGATTACGTGGACATGAAATATGTGAGTGAAAGCCGTATCAGCCTCATGCATGATGTGCGTTCATTGTTGTGCTGTCTCTGCAGGTGCGTGGTCGTTCTCTGTGTCTGAGCTCGCAGCTCCAGGTGTGGAGGTGGGCCGTCTCTCCGCCACCGATCCTGATCTGGGAGAAAACGCTGAGCTGGAGTTCACGATCCTGGACCCGGAGGAGGCCGACATCTTCAACATCACGGGAAGAGACCAAGAGGCTGTCATTGTGCTGAACAAGGTGGGCGTGTGTTGATTGTGGCGACCCCTGTGGACAAAGGTGGTACTGTTTCCATGAGCAGAAAGATCTGATCTGGCTAACGCAAATCTTTGTTTTGTAAGCGACTGAAAGAACGTTTTTTAATACCTTTTTTTCTTTTTTAAACTGAAGAGATTTTAGCGTTTAGTTCTGGTGAATTTAGAAGCTTTTACGTGTCTTAAAAAAGTGTCTAAATGTTTCGACACTAGAACACTAGTCCTCCTTTAGCTTAGTGGTGGAGACGTGAAGTCACGTGACCGTGGTGGAGTTCCTTTACAGACTAACGTTAGCTTTTTACTTTACACTTCAAACATCATAAAAGTGGAGTTCATTAGTGAAGATTATCTTGATGAACAGTATTATAAACGTTTGACAGAGATAATCCAGAATCCATTCGATTATTGTCGAGTGAACTAAAGCGACGCTAACTTCCTGTTTGACGATAACAACACGTCATCCCTGCAGCTCTCCACAGAGGCATCCGTCTTACACTGAGACTGTTCAAAGTTCCTTGTTGCTACTTTTTCCTAAATGGCTTCATAATGAGAAAAATACGTGACATTTCAGAAGTTTTTAAAAAACAATCTCCTTCGGCCTGTTATTGCAAAATTGATTTTATTTGTCCATTTAAACTCTTCGGCACTCAAACACAGTCTGAAGCCGGCAGGTTCAGATTCCCAAGACTCCACACACGAGCAATTAATGCGTAACAATGACCTGATGAGCAGCCGTGTTCAAGGCAGCCAGCGTGACTCTTCTTTCCTTCTAAGCACTCAAAGAACTGTTGCTCAGTGAAATCTTAACTGGAGGGACTGCAGAGGGTGAGGTAAGAGGAGGCCGATGATGAAAGGAATGACTCCCAAACGTAACGTTGGGTGTGAATTTTACGGCGAGATAAAAGAGCGAGAATGATGAATGAAAAGGAATTCATGAAGTGCAGCGTATATACATGTGAATCACACATGAAAGGAAATTCATTTGTTTCGTCCCATCAGCTGCTGGATTATGAGAGCCGCAGCTCGTACTCTTTCTCCGTGGAGGTCGTCAACCCTGTGGTGGACGCGCGGTACCTGAGGAAAGGCCCCTTTAAGGACCAGGCGACGGTCCAGGTCATGGTCCTCAACGCCGACGAACCGCCGCGGTTCTCCCAGAGTCGCTACCACCTGGACGTGTCCGAGAACTGCGCCCCCGTCTGCTCCGTCGGCCGGGTCGACGCCGTGGACCCGGACACGGGACAAAGCAGCAACATCAGGTGGTTATGACATCATCATCGAGTCGCTCATGAGCTCTCCTCGCTCATCTTATTCTCCCCGCTCCTTATGCTTGCCGGTTTCTGCACCTCAGGTACTCCATCGATCCCCAGTCGGACCCCGAGGCCCTGTTCCGCATCGCCTCCGACACGGGCTCCATCAGCACGGTGATGGAGTTGGACCGCGAGCAGGAGCAGTGGCACAACATCACCGTCATCGCCACACAGCGGGGTAACGTCGGCCCTCCGGCGCCGGAGCTCACCGTGCTCCATATTTCACCCAAAACACACATGGGATGATTTTCAACACGAGTGTCTGTTTTCCTCTTTTCTCCGCCAGACAATCCAAATCTTGTGTCAAGGGTTGTGGTTGCCATAGAGACGCTGGACCAGAATGACAACGCGCCCGAGCTGGACCGGCAGTACACCACGTCTGTGTGTGACTCCAGCGCCCCCGGACAGGTCCTGCTGTCTGATATTATTCCTGTTTCTATCCGTTCCGTCTGCAGCTCCTTTTCTTTTTTTAACTTGATTTAATTTTGCACATCTGTTGTTAAAAACATCGCGTATTTAAAAATTGATGCAGCCGAGGAAAACTCCCGTCTCTCTTTACTCAGCTGCTGCTTTCTCAAACAGCATCAATGTTTAATTCATGATGTCATGATGGGTATCAGAAATATACTGGAAGAGCTTAATCTTCAAATCTTCAGTAGAGATGCACCGATCGATCGGTCACCGGTCGAAGCCGGACGGTTGTCAGTTGATCGTCTTATTTATCAGATTTTTATTTTTGAAGGTTAAATTTACACACATGTGCTGCATGATGGCTTTACGTTACACACACACACTCAACATGTCTGTGTCAACCAGGCGGCAACCTCCGGTTCTGCAGAGTGAAGCCGATGCTTCACGTGTTAAAGCTGCATTCTCTCTAGTGT